CCGAGCGCCCCCCGCCCCGTGGAGGCCGAGCCTGCTTTGCGTGCGTTGCGCCCGGACCCTCGCAGCGTCCCCCGGCGGAATCCCCAGCCCCTCCCCGTGAGGAACGTTCGCCTCCCATCTCTGCAGCGGCGGCCGGTGGTCAGCCGACCCCACTCCCGGGACACGGGCCTCTCCGTCTCCTCGGGCTTCCGGGGCCTCGCCGCTCAGGGCTCCCCCACCGCCGCGGCCGCCTTTCCTGAGGTGGCCGAGCTCCCGGGGAGCCGAGAAAGACAGCCCGGCTCGCGTTCGGCTGCTCTAAGCTGGCGCTGCAGACCTCCCACCCACAGGCTCTGCCCCACGTCCCCAGGTCCTGTGAGGTCCCCACATCTCCCTGGTGGTCTGCGCTGTCACCCCTCTCAGCACCTCCTCCTTCCACAGGCACCTCGGCCTCGGGGCTGGGAGACTCAGGGGCCCTTGCAGCCTTCGAGCTGGAGCGGTCTGCCTGGTGGTCCCCCAACCATGACGCCTGACAGGTCCCCAGAGGAAGCCCCTGAGGGAGACACAAGGAGGACAGGGTGTAAGCCCAAGGTGAGAGGTGGGGGAAGCAACGCCAGCCTCCAAGCAGGGTCTGATGGGGCGAGGGGCCTGGGGACAAGGAGCTGGTTCCTAGAGGAACTCCTGGCCTGTGCTGGCGGGTGACCCTCTCTGTGAATGTGCACAGAATGGGCCATTGGTCCTGTGTGGGACGTGGGGGGAGAACAGGACACTAGCATCATCACCTGCTCTGTGTCAGGGGACAGCTAGGAGAATGCTCAGTGTTTGCTCAGGGAGCAGGACAGGATGAGGAGGGAGAGAAAATCCTAATCCTTGTTTCATAGAGACCACCCCGAGGTCTGTCTGCACCCTGCACACAGGTGGAGAAGAAGGCCCAGCTTGAAGTTCTGACTTGTGTTAGGAAATTATTGGTAGACTCCATTATTTTCTCTAGGCCAAAGATGCTTTCAAAGACATTTCCATATACTTCTCCAAGGAAGAATGGACAGAGATGGGAGACTGGGAGAAAATTCGTTACAGGAATGTGAAAAGGAACTATGATGCACTGCAGGCTATAGGTAACAAGAAGTGCTGGGTGCAGGTGAGCCTGGGAAACATGAAACACCTGTATTCATTTGGCTCCATCTGCCTACAGTTCTCTTCTGTGCCGAGAGCAATCTAGAGGTAAATTTTGGTCTTTTACGTCAGCGCAGGGCTGGCACTGACAATACAGAGCTCAGGATGCCTTGTTTTAGGCTTTCCTGGCCCATCAGAGTGAGTTGCCCTGGTTTGGGGGTGCTTTGTCCCTCTTTCAAGCTCTTCTCTTTCAGGACAAAGATTTTGCTTCTCTCCAGGTCTCAGAGCCCCTGACCAGCCTTCATGTGTCGCCGTAGGCAGGCCATCAAACCTCAGGTTAATGACTCTGAGGATTCTGATGAAGAATGGACTCCAAGGCAGCAAGGTGAGTGGCCAGGAGGCCTTGGAGGTGCAGTCCTGAAACCAACCTGGGTTGAGGTCTGAGCCGCATCTAAGGAGGTAACAAGGAAACAATGTTTGCTTATTAAGAAACAGTGTTTACTTGTTCAGCAAACAAGCAATATGCAAAACAGCATGTTATACACTAAGGGGCTAGTCATATAAAGTTTTAAAATGTGTAAAATAATTATGCATTTTATAGATACATTAATAAGCATTAAATGTATAAAATCTGAAAGTGAATAAGAAATAACAAATTCGAAATAGTTATCATCATAAGAGAAGGAGGAAGCTCTGACAGACGGCTTGGCTGTGTCTTGCTTAGTCATTTATTTGTTTATTTGTTTTTGAATTTTAAAATAGAAGAAAAAGATCTGAAGCCATGGTGGCAGAATGTTGCGATCAGACTGAATGGTAATAGATGTATAGGTTTTTCATTATAATTTTTCATACTTTTCTATATACTTAACTTTTATCATTTTATAAAGATTATTTTTGCTAAACATTGTTAATTAAAGGGCAATTAAAGTAACCTTAGTTAATCCACCAAAGAGCTTTCCAACACTAATCTCATCGTAGTTCAGTTATTGAATTAAATGTCCTAGAAGAAGAAATGACTAAGATATTATGTGAAAATTTATAATTCATTTATGTATATTTTGTCACACCACATGATCTTCCTACCCCAAAATGAACCTGATTTTTTGTCTTGATTCTGGGAGAGGTTTTCAGGCAGCTGTTGAGTCTCCCTGATGTCTCCCACTTGTCACAGAGTAGAAACGGAATCAGGTAAATGTAGCAGAGTGCAGTCATTATGAAATAGAAGTGAGCAGCTCACTTTCTCTTCTGCTGCTTGGGAGAGTTTGGAAGAAAGTCCATCTGCCTCAACAGGAGAGAGCAACTTGGACTAGGTCTGAGATTCCCCATCTACGGGTCTCTGATTCCTCAGGCTCTTCAAAGTAGTGTAAGAGATCTGCAAACTCAACATGTGGGTGTCCACAAGGTTTTGACGTGAAAAGAGGGTTTACCATACATCTACACATCTTATCTGGACTCAGTGAAAACGCACGGCCCAGTAAATGTATTTTTCATTTCATTTTTAAAAAACATATCATAAATTTACTCTTACAGCTTTTAAGTGTACACATAGAGTACTGTTAACTATATGCCCATTGTGGTACAACAGATCTCTAGAACTGTCTCGTCTTTCATGACTGAAAGAAACTCTGCACCCATTTAAAAACTCCCCATTTCCTTTCCCCCTAGCCCCTGGCAACCACCATTTTATCTTGTTTTCATGACTTTGATTACTTTAGATACCTCCTCTAAGTGGAATCATGCAGTATATGTCTTTTGTGATTGGTTTATTTCACTTAATGTAATGCCCTCAAGGTTCATCCCTGTTGTAGCATATGACAGGGTGTCCTGCTTTGTTAAGACTCAAGAGGATTCTGTTGTATGTAAATACCACATTTACTTTATCCATTCATCTATCATTGGACATTAAGGTTGCTTTCCCATCTTCGATATTGTGAATGATGCTGAAATGACCATGAATGGGCAAATACTTATTCAAGATCCTGTTTTCAGTTATTTTAGATATAGACCCCAAATTTGGGTTACTACATCACATGGCAGTATTTATAATTTTCTGAGGAACATTTATGCTGTTTTCCATAGTGTCCGAACCATTTGCATCCCCACCAGTAGTGTGTAAGGGTTTTAATTTTTCCACATTCTTGCCAACATTAAGAGTTTATTAAGGGAACGTACATATGACACACATCTTGGGCAGTGGTAAGACACCGTGGATACCCTCCGTGCAGCGTGACAGGTGCTAAGGAGTTATATAGAACAGGGCAAGATGGATAGAGGTACTGGGGTGTGACCCACACCAAGTAAGGGGAAATGCCTGCCTGGGGAAGGACAATGAACTGTTCTAAGAACCAGCGTAGGAGAGGGGTTGGTCAGATTGTCTCTGAGGACTTGTGGAGAGCAATCTCTGCTCTGGCCTGCACCCAACTGGATCTAGCTCGAGGGTCCCACAGCAGCCATGTCATGAAACAGTCTCTCCTCCACAATGTTGAATAGTAGTGTCAAGAGTCAGCATCCTTGCCTTGTTCTTGATCTTAGAGGACACGCTTTCAGTCTCTCACTGATGAGCGTGATATTAGAAGGGGACCTTTCATAAGTGACTCATTATGTTGAGGTATTTCCTTCTATTCCTAGTTTGTTGAGTATTTTTGTCATGAAAGGCCAACTTATTTTTAAAATTAATGTAATAGCTACCTTATTAGCATAGGATAAAGCATAGATGAGGCTTTGTCTATTTTTTTTTAACATTTTAAGAAAATTAGTTGATGCTCGCAATAGAAGCATAGGCCTTAATGTTACTTCAGAAACCATTTTCCAATCACTCTTGGATTGTCCTTGTACTCATCACTCTCTGATTCAGAATTCTGTGTCCCTGATAAGAATCTACAGATTTTGGAAACATTTACCAACCAGAACACTGATTTCTTATCATCTTTTAGTCCAACCTTCTTGGGTGGCCTTTGGAGTGGAACAGAGTAAACACCAGAAGGTGAGTGTTTCCTCAATCCTATTGACAAGAAAATCTTCCTCATGGATCCAAATTTAGGTAAGAGTGGGAAAATACAGAGTATCCTAGGGACTGCTGCCATCCTTTCCTGATCTGTTAAACAGTGTCTGATATCATCGTTTTAATACTTAATACGTCAACAATAGGAGCTGCCACTTGTTTTCACGGTATTTCAGACTTTCTTTTACAGACATGACTAAACTCACTCACACCTTTCGATGCCCCTGTGAGGTGGGTACTATAGCCGTCACTGTTTATAGATGAGGAAACTGAGGTTTCTAAGGCACAGAAATGTTTGCGTCCATGTCTGAGGTCACATTTCCAGTGGTATAGCAATTGAATCCAAAGCTCCTTCTCTAAGCCACTCAAAAAATCACTAAAACTTTCACGGTTTTATAAAGTTTACGCTCTCTTATCCACACATGTTTACTTCATTCATCTGACTGATCTTTTCATTCAACCTCAGATCTTTTCTGCTCTGCTAAAGTGAGAGGTATGTAAGACCCTCTGACTAAGGGAAGCTCACTGACACACAGGCAGTTTGTACAGTGGGTGGTCCCAGAGGAAAAAAGGTATGGACCCCAGCCTCAGAGACATGCACTCTAAGAAAAGGAAGCATCTCCTACCCCTGAGGAGCTGCAGGGTTGATGATAACAGATGATAACAGGCTTAAGGAGTTCACATCAGTCACACACTAGAAATTCATGTCTCTGGAACTGTTTTCAAATGCCTGTTCCTCTAGGAGGAAGTAACAGCTTCTTTCTCCGAGCTCCAATTGGGCAACTCTCCTGCAGTTTAAAATTGTTTGTTTAGTTTGCCTATCCATGTACTGCGAACTCTTTGAGAAGCTGGCTCATACCTGACTCTTCTCAGAAGTCCCAGGCCCAGTTCGGGGCCCTTGAGGGCCCTTGAATGTTTTCTGAATAAGTGATTTCACATTTACAAATGTGAAAGAGGGTCAATGAATGCTGAAGATAATATTGGTGACTTAGAGTTTAGATATGGAGAGAGCTGAGGGGTAAATTGATAGTGGGACTGTAATCTCACATTCATACTGTGTTAAATAGCTCACAGAACGCTTTGGTGAACATTATGACGTGTCGTGTTCACTGTGACAATAGTATAGAATTAGTATGTTATGGACTGGGAAACTGAAGAGAACTAGCTGGTGGCACAGCCTTATTCAAACTTAATTGATGGGAACCACCTCATCAAATTACAAATATTCTTTCCAAGATATAGCAAATCGCAACTTTTAGCATCATTTTATTGATTGTCTAGATATGTTTCTGACAACCATTTCATTGTTCTAGTCCCAGTCTCCCTCACCCTTACTTTTCCGGAGAAAGTTGAAAGGAAAGAGCCTTGGGGCACAGGTTCTAGTCTTGGATTCCCTACTTTTTCCTTTCTTTTTCCTATCACCTTTATAATCCCCAGGTACTTACAAAGGTTGTTGAAGTACTAATTAAAGTCATGCAAGTAAAAACACATCATAAGCCCTAAAGAATTAAAGATCTGCATGTTATCTGTTAATATATGACTCTCACATTGAAGGCAATGCCCAGGGTGCCATTGAGCAATGAACCCAGTTTGAAGGAATTGTCAGTAATAGCAAATCTGCTGAAGGCAAGTGGCTCAGAACAGGACCAGAAACCAGTGTTCCCTCCTGGAAAAGCAAGTGCCTCCAGACAGCACTCTAGACAAAAGTTGGGTAAGAGAAAATAATATGGGGGATTTAGTTCCTCTAAGTCCTCTGGAAAGGTTGATCAGTATAGCCTAGGTACGTGGGGTAGGCTGTGGCCTGGGTTTAAACTGAGCTAAGCAGAGATCCGAAGTTAGCGCTGGGGCTTTGGGCAAATTTTATAAATTCTCTGAGCTCCCAAATGGTAATCTGTAAAGTGAAGATAAGGATACATAGCTCATATATTGCTTGAAAGCATAAAATTAAATTTAAAAGATTTGGCATGTGCAAGTTGTTCAATAAACCATGTGTGATAACAGGGACCATACTTTCTTGGTGTTGTTTGCCCACACCTTGGCTCAATGCCTAACACATAATGTGCCCTCAACAAATATTTTCTGAATGAGTGAATATGTGGATGAACCATTTTGTGAATAGAAAGGTTGGGAAGTTAAACCTGATAATAGGAAGCACTAGAAACTAAAATTGAATCAGCCATCTGTGGTCCATGTGGAGTCTTAGTCTCTCTGAACCAGTACTTAAGGGAGGAAAAAACCAGGGTATACAGAAGGGCAGGTGATAGTTTGATGGGAGGAGATTTCATGTTTTCTGACAAAACAGGGACTAGTACTCGAGACCCCACCAACATCACTCACCTACGCTTCTTCAACTTAGGACTCAGAAGAAAGGGGGTTGAAGTGAAGATGTACAGCCTCCGAGAAAGGACGGGCCGTGTGTACCAAGAGGTCAGCGAGCCCCAGGATGACGACTACCTGTGTGAGTGACTCTCACAGGAAGGCTGTTATGTCTTGATACAATACTTTCATCTGGTCATTTGGTCCCCAATCATTTCCTCCTTCTCATGACCTGGGGTACAGGATAGAGGCTCAGTGACGTGTGTGCCCAAGCTCGGTCTGAAGCTCTCACGTGAAGGGACACGCATGACACCTTCCCTAATCCCTGTTGCTCTCACCTTCTAGATTGTGAGAAGTGTCAGAACTTCTTCATCGACAGCTGTGCTGCCCATGGGTCCCCCATATTTGTAAAAGACAGTGAAGTGGACATTCGGCATCCCAACCGCTCAGCCCTCACTCTGCCCCCTGGGCTGAGAATCGGGCCATCGGGCATCCCTGAGGCTGGGCTTGGAGTCTGGAATGAGGCGTCCGATCTACCACTGGGTCTGCTCTTTGGCCCCTATGAGGGCCAGGTCACAGAGGACGAAGAGGCAGCCAACAGCGGGTACTCCTGGCTGGTGAGAAGCAGTGACCCCTGGCCCTGTCCTTGGGCTCCCCACCTCCCCTCTGCACTGGTGGGCCCTCACCTCCTCCAGGCTGGGACTTTGATGGGGATAATGTGGTTGGCTCTGTGCGTAGAGTGGACTCTGCATGGACAAACTGACTCAGATATGTAGGTGATGAATAAGAAGCATGTCACGAGGGCACAGCTGGCGGTGGAATCCATGCAGGCTGACACACCTGATGACAGTAGAGTTAAATAATTCTTCTGACTGTCACCTCCCCACCAATAAAGGCTTTAACTTCTTTTCCTGCACCTCAGATCACCAAAGGGAGAAACTGCTATGAGTATGTCGATGGGAAGGATGAGTCCCGGGCCAACTGGATGAGGTGAGGCCAGTAGGCATCTGGGCCCCAGAGGACGCCCCTCCCTGACAAGCCCCCCGCCCTTTCCTTCTCATCGTGCCTCCCGCAGTGATCCCCCGCAGTCCTCTGTTCCCGTTCTCCCCACATACAGTGCTCTTTCATGTCAATAGACATTTAGGGAAAAAAGGAGATAAAATACAGTATGTCCTCAAAATATAAATCTTTATGCTAGACAAAATTTGGGCACTGGAAAAAACCTCAAGGACCCTCAATTCACTGGGGACCCTGGATTCAGACTTCATCTAACAAACATTTATATAGCACTATGTTCTGGTTTAGACAATGGAATTTATTACTGAAACAGATCATACAACCCATATCCTTATGAGGATTTACTGCAGACAAACATGAAACAATTGACTTTAGAAATATTTAACCATAATTTTCCTATTTTGTGAGAAGTGTGCAGCGCCAGGATAGCCTAAAACAAGGACCTTTTAACCCGTGAGGACAGCAAAGCACTCTGACCTCATTCTAACTAGAACTGGGTTCTGAAGCCTGCAGAGAGGTGAAGTACAGGGTGGTCGTGGGCCTCTTTGCCTCGTGATGCAGCCCCTTCTCTTTTCTCAGGACTTAGAGACTGTGCGGGACTATTGTTGTTGCGTGACTGTGCTGAGACAGAGGCCTCCCAGGGCAAGGGGAGGCTTTCTAGGCAGTATAAGCACTGTGAGCAGGACTCGGAGACGGGCGTCCACAGGACAATGTGAACGAGGCTCAGGTGTGGACAGAAGGTTCCCCAGGAGCGTGGCGGGCAGTGGGCGACAGCAGAGCATGACGGCCGCAGGCGTCAGGTGAGGAGCTGGACGTGGATGTGACGGGGGGAAACTTGTCACCTGTGGTTTTCTTTCCTTCCACCTGCCTCAACCCAGGTATGTGAACTGTGCCCGCGACGATGAAGACCAAAACCTGGTAGCCTT